CTCCCTCCCACCTCCACCCACCAGTTTAGTATGTCTATCCATGTCTAGTATGTTCCACTGCTGAGATTTTTCACCCTTTTTCCTCGGATTCTGTGCCCTCCCCTCCATCCTCCACAGATGTGCACATGAATATACCATATATAGGGTAAAGAATACAGAATCACATGATATCATTTTTGAAGGGGTGCTTAAAATCAAGCCTAGGGCCTTGGGTTGTTATGCTCTGCTACTAAGCCATATTATTTTTTTGGTGCCACTCCTGGGGCTTAAACCCAGGGCCTAGGCACTGTCCTTGAGCTTTTGTGCTTAAGACTAGCACCCAACAACTTGAGTAACAGCTCCACTTCTGGCTTTTTTTGGTAAGAAATATATTAAGGAGAATAGTCTGATAGTCTTTCTTGCCTGAGCTGGCTTGGAACTGGGATCCTCAGATCTCAACCTCCTGTGTTGCTAGGATTACACGCATGAGCCACCGAGGCCCAGCTTCATGTTATCATTTTTCAAAATGAGCAGCAAATGGTTATATGAGTCAGGAAAATTAAATTCTGTGTATAAGTTGAAATCATAGAAGTTCACTTGTTTTAAAAAAATCTTGGAAGTTATTGGGAGAAAATAGGACAACTTAGATTTTTATAACAGAATGTAGATTGTTGGATGTTTCAGTTTAAGGTGTTTTTTGTTTTTTGTTTTGGTGCTGCTCCTGGGGCTTGAGTTCAGGGCTTAGCAAGTATCCCTGAACTTTTTTGCTCAAGGCTAGCACTCTAACAATTGAGCCACAGTTTGCTTCTGTTTTTTTGTTTTTGTTTTTTGGTGGTTAATTGTAAATAAGCATATTAAGGTCTTTCCTGTTGGGGCTAGCTTTGAATTGAGATTCTCAAATTTCAGCCCTCTGTGTAGCTAGGATTATAGACATGAGCCACCGGTGGTACCCTGCTAGTTTCTTAGGTTTTATACAGGGAAAGGAAATATTTACCTTCCAGCATATAAAATGTAAGTGAGTTTATGTATATTAAGGTCAGTAAATGTTAGGTCCCTTTATGATATACTTCTGTTCCTTTAATTTTAGCATTTAAATATATGTATATATATTATTGTGCTATTACTGGAGCTTGAACTAAGGGCTTGGGAGCTATCACTGTTTCACTCAAGGATGGTGCTTTACCACATAAACTATAGCTCGAATTCCTGCTTTCCAGCTTTTTTGGTGGCTAATTGGAGACAAAGGCTCACAGACTTTCCTGCCCTGGCTGGCTTTGAACTGAAATCCTCAGATCTCAGCCTTTTGAGTAGCTAGGATTATAGATGTGAGCTATGGGTGTCCAGCACTGTTTCTTTTTTCTATTCTCTTTTTTTCTTCCCTGGTCCTGGGGCTTGAACTCTGGGCCTTGGCAGTGTCCCTGAGCTCCTTTTGCTCAAGGCTAGTGCTCTACCACTTGAGTCACAGCACTACTTCCAGCTTTTTCTGTGATTAATTGGAGATAAGAATCTTATGAGCGATAGTGGCTCACTCCTGTATTCCTAACTACTCCTGAGGCTGAGATCTGAGGATCACAGATTGAAGCCTGCCTGGGTGGAAAGTCCCACTGAGACTCTCATTTCCAATTAACCACTAGAAAACTGGAAGTGGCACTGTGGGTCAAAGTGGGTAGCGTGCTTGTCTCAAGTAAAAGATCACAGGGACAGTGCTCAGGCCCTGAGTTCAACCTGTCCCCCCCACCAAAAAAACTCAGGACTTTCCTGCCTGAGCTGGCTTTGAACCTCAATCTTCAATCTTCAGATCTCAGCTTTCAGAGTAGCTAAAATTACTGGTGTGAGCCACCAGCGCTTGGCTTTTCTGGTCTTTTTTGTTTCCAACTTTGTCTTTCATTTCAGCACAAACCATGACCGTGTGTGTGTGTGTGTGTGTGTGTGTGTGTGTGTGTGTGTGTGTGTGTGTGTAAAGATACTATACAGAGGGGAAGTTACATGAGTAATGAGTACATTTTTTCTCGAGCATTGTTACCCCCTTCTTTCTTTTCCCCCTAATATCCTTTCCCTCCCCCCTCCCCAACTCTTCCCTTCCCTCCTCCAAGTTGTAAGAACTCTTGTGTCCCTATCTTGAGGTTCATTTCGCTTAGCACCATCTTTTTTTTTTTTTTTTTAAATTTTATTTTATTTTATTTGAGAACATACTGTACAGAGGGGTTACAATTACATGGGCAGGATAATGCATACATTTCTTACCAAGCATTGCAGCCTCCTCCTTTGTTTACCCTTCACCTCCCTTCCCAGCCTCCCCCCTCCCTCCCACCCAATCATACCCCCCCCCCCACCGACATTGTAAAGCTGGTTTTGACATGACTTTTTGTACTTCTCATTGTTGCAACAGGTCCACCTGAATCTTTAAACGACTTGTTTGTCCCCATCTCCTCCACATGTTATACTGACATGAAATATAGTGAAAGCGGGGGTTACACTGTGGGGGAGGGACATACAAAGCAACAAAGAAATAATCTTATAAATGCGTTAGAAACACATGCATGAAAGAAACAAAAACATTAAAATACATATTTGAGGTTTCGTTTTCCTAACATCACATTATCTGACTTTTTCCGCTTGACTCATACCTATACTAGATATTGCAAATAAGGGAAACCATGGGACCTATGTTTCTTTGGGCCTGGCTTACTTCACTTAATATAATTTTTTCCAAGCCTTTCCATTTCCTAACAAATGGGGAAATGTCATTCTTTCTGATGGAGGCATAGAATTCCATTGTGTATATATACCACATCTTCTTGATCCATTCATCTACTGAGGGGCATCTGGGTTGGTTCCATGTCTTAGCTATGGTAAATAATGCTAGCACCATCTTATATGGTCCTATGTGCATAGCTTTTCACCTTTTATGCTTGTCCTAGACTAGTTATTGCAAATAAGGGAAACTATGGGACCTATCTTTCTTTGTGCCTAGCTTACTTCATTCATTATAATTTTTCCAAGTCTTTCAATTTCCTAACAAATGAGGCGGTGTCATTCTTTCTGTCATTCATTCTGGGCATAGAATTCCACTATACATACATACATACACACACATATATATGTATAGATCACATTTTCTTGACCCATTCATCTACTGAGGGGCATCTGGATTGGTTTTATGTCTTAGCTACGGTGAATAATACTACGATAAACATAGTTGTGCTGGTAGCTTTAGTATGGCCTTGTAATCATTTGGGTAAATGCTCAAAAGTGGGATTGGTGGGTCATAGGGGAGCTTTAGGTGGAGTCTTTCGAGAAACCTACATACTGCTTTCCAGAGTGGTTGAACAAGTTTACACTCCAACCAACAACTCTTTTTTGGTTACATCCTCTCCAGCATGTTGTTATTAGGTTTCTTGATTATAGCCATTCTAACTGGGGTGAGATGGAATCTCATTGTTGTTTTGATTTGCATTTCTTTTATGGGTAGAGAAGTTGAACATTTCTTTATGTGTCTATTGGCCATTCTTATTTCCTCTTCAGAGAAGTTCCTCTTTAAGTTGTTAGCCCACTTATTAATGGGATGGTTGTTTCTTTGAGGATTTGTTGTTGGGGGATTTAATTTTTTGAGTTCTAAGTATAGTTTAGATATGAGACCATTGTTTGTTGTATGGCTAATGGGCTTTCTATTGATCTTGCTAGCTATGTCCTTTGCCATGCAGAAACTCTGCAGTTTCAGGCAATCCCATTTGTCCAACCTTTCCTTGATTTGTTGTGTTTCTGGGTCTTTATTAAGGAAATTTTAGCCTGTGCCAAGGAGCCCTAGAGTTTCTCCTATTCTTTCTTGTAATGTTTTCCGGGTGTCTGCTTTTACTTTGAGATCTTTGATCCATTTGGGGTTGATTCTGGTGCAGGGTGATATATAAGGATCTAGCTTTAGTTTTCTACAGGTGTTGAACCAATTTTGCCAGCACCATTTACTGAAGAGACTGTCTTTCTTCTATTTTTTTAGCTCCCTTATCAAAGATTTGGTGGCTATAGGTTTGCGGGTTCATTTCTGGGTCTTCATTTCTATTCCATTGGTTCTCAGTTCTGTTCTTGCGCCAGTACCAAGCTGTTTTGGTTACTATGGCTTTGTAGTAGAGTTTAGCATTTGGTATTGATATTCCTCCAGCACTGTTCTTTCTGTTAAGGATTGTTTTTGCTATTCGGGGTCTTTTATTGTTCCATATGAATTTTTGGATTGCTTTTTCTATTTCTTTGAAGAATGAGGTTGGGATATTGATAGGTTTCACTTTGAATTTGTAGGTAGCCTTTGGCAGTATTGCCATTTTTACGATGTTAATCCTCCCAATCCAGGAACTTGGGAGGTTTTTCCACTTCCTTAGTTCTGTTTTAATTTCCTTTGTCAGGAAAAACCATGACCTTTGAGTAAGGGGTCTCTGTATAATTTTTCAGTCAGTAAGGTTTGACATTCAATAGGTTCTTAGGGTTATTGGCTTTACTAATATATATATATTTTTGGAGCTCTGTTAGCTCACTAGATTCTCCTCACCTCCTATAGCTCCGCCCTACACTCCTTTCAGTAAGCTCCTCCAGAAGCCCCGTCCTTCGAGCTCACCCCACATTCCTTGAGCCCTAGGTTCAGTACAGTAAAGCCCCTCACACTTGGCCCCCTCACTTCACGAGTCCGGTCCTAGCTCGTCAAGCCCTGCCCCTCATGCTCCTAGCTCCTCGAGACTGGCCCCTCGCGTGGTTAAGGCTGTGTCGCGCCCATCTTCTCGTTCAGCATTTTCTTGTCCTTTTAGGTCCAGATGGTAGGTGATGGTAGTGATGAGGAGACACGCCTGCCCCCGGTGGCGATCACTTTAAGTGCAGAACTTGCTAAATTCTCACAGGCTGGCTCCTACCTTCTGACTTCCCTCCGGAAACGTCAGGCTGTCCACTCGAAACCTCTGTGCCCACAACCCTTTTGACTTTTGATTCGCTCACTGCTTATTCGCGCGTTCTTTTTTAGGCTCGGAGGGGGCGGAGCTGAAATGGCTGCGCCACCGTTGCCGGGGCAACGTCTCGTTACTTCCGTTGGTTTCAATGCTTCCGGGTTGGCGCTGCGGAGGCGTTTCCGACTGTGGGAACCCAGTCGTCTGCCGTGCCGGAACAGGTGAGGGGGAGCTCCTGGACTTCCAGGCTGGGGAGCGGGGCTGGGCCGCGCCAGGCCGCGCGAGGCCGGGCTGGACTGGTTCCCGGCCTGGGAGGGGCTTAACGGTCCTTTGATCTCTCTCTCCCTTCAGCTGAGTCCCTTCCCTGTCTTTCACTCTTCCGGCATCGGTGGTTTTCCTTCTTCGATTGAGCCCTGCTTCCTCGACCCCCCTGGGAGGCCGCCTCCTTCAGGCGCCTCCCTTCTCTCTACGAACTCGCTCTGACAGCCGAGGAACTGGCAAGATCCTGCTACCCAGAGGGTGAATGGGTATCTTTCCCGGAATAATCCTAATTTTTCTAAGGGTGAAGTTTGCAACGGCGGCCGTGATTGTAAGCGGAGTAAGCAAACACCTCCATTGTATTAGTGTGAGGGTTGCTGTTGAAAGATGCCCCCCCCTCAGTTTTTACCCCGTCACTCCTGAGGTCAAGGCATTGAAGGCATCGATTAAAATGCAGTTCAGTTACTTGATTGAGATGGCAGCTATTAGCATGATGAATTACTTTCAGACCAGGTAACCGGTGAGACTTAATAGTAGTTCCTCCCCTCCCCAGGCTAGAGATGCTTATTAGTCTAGAACGTGTTGTGTTTTGATTTAGAAGCTAATCTCTAACCTCACTGCCAACAAGGGTCTTGTCTGTCTTACTTCACACTACCCTAAGCAGATTTCCCTACTTTTACGGTTTGTGATCTGTTCTTACTGCAGCCCTAGTAGACTATCTAAAATTTGGTAGATTTCCTCAAGACCTTTCCCTGTTTATTTTTTTTTAAAACAAAACCTTACTGGGCCCCCAAAACTCCCTGGTTTCAAGCCTTTCAGTATAAGTCTGTTCCTTTAAATTGTTTTAGCCAACAAATGAATTGGGCATTCCACTTTTGCCCTTCATTTATTTCTCAGAACAGAACATATTGATGCCTACTTCCACATGCTGTGCTTGTTCCACATTTGTGTGTATTCCTCCTGTCCCTTTGACCACCAGTTTCCCTTACTTGTCTCTACGTACATTCAACCTGTTCTCTGACAAGGCCCAGTTATTTAATCTCATGTTGATTGTCTCCTTTTCTATGCTTCTTTTGCTCTTACAGTTTGTACTATACAATTTAGAACTTAATTTTTACCTGGTGAAATGCTTTTATTTCTTCCACCAGATTATAAATTTTTTAAATGTTAAGTACTATATTTCATACAATTTTTTGTCTCTGCCCCATGTCCTTGATTATCCAGAAAGACAGATTGAACACCAAACATGGTGTTAGGACATATTTCTGTGATTTTTTTTAACGTGACAGTTACAGCACTTTGCAGGTTTGAATACTGAGTATGCCTTCAATAAATAACTGATGGCTCCCCATCATGACCTTCTAAATCTGAGAATCTCTATTTAATACCTATTCTTTCTTAAAGGACAAAGAAAGAAAAAAAGAGAAAGAAAGAAAGAAGGAAAGAAAGAAGACAGACAGAAAGAGAATGACAGCTAGATTATCCTGCTAGATCTTTGGAGCAGTGTAGGGCTATATAATGTGTATTCTAAGACATTTTTAGTTTTACTTGTTTACCTATTAAAACAATCAGCTATTCATAATACATGGCTACAATTTGAATACAATTTCCATTGAGATCTTTATGTGGTAAAATACTTAGAGTACTTTATTTCTATTTTAACTTCAATAGAAATGCCTTTTATCCTTTTGCCCATATCTGCAGTTAGCCCCCACAAAAAAAAAAAAAAGTAATTTTAAGAGGAAATGAGGTATTTTGCATGAGTCATTTTCTGCAACAAAAGCCACAGTGGTGGATATATAGGCATAGAATATCTGGGTGTCAGGAATGTGTCATGTACAAGGTGTGGAACATTGGCCAGGTCTAGCAAGTTAGCTTTCTCAATTTTTCTGTAATCTTTTATATACATACTATATACATTGATAAAAGATATCACACTGGAAAACCAGATATTTAAGTGACGTACTCAGTTCAATTATTGAGTATATAAAAAGTATTGTGAGATATGTTGTCTACCTTCAGGGATCTTAACTTTTTTTAAAGAGGAAATAATATGAGACAACTGTAAGATAAACCACATCTTGGTCATTTTTTATGCCTGGATTTAAGATAAGAGACAAAAGTTCAAAAAATTACACAATTTTAGAAATTTCATGTACACAGATTTATGTAAAACACTCAGACGGCTGGGAAATTGGCATAGTGGTGAAGTGCTTGCCTAGCATGCATGAAAAGCTGCAAGTGTGGCTGTGCCTCAAGTGGTAGAGTGCTAACTTTGAGCAAAGAAGCTCAGTGACAGTGCCCAGGTCCTGAGTTCAAGCTCCAGGACTGGCAAAAAAAAGACTCAGAGGTGTTTCCTCACAGCTAATAATTCAGTAGAATCATTTTTCTTTCTAAAAAGCAACTATAGTTTTCACCTATGGTAAGTAACTGAAGTAAAATATATAGGATAAGAAACATGACCAGGAATATTTAGCTTGGTAAAGATAAGATATAAGAGAATCTGATAGCTATTTTTATATATTTGAAGGACTCACCTAGGGTAAACAAATGCTTTTGTTCAGTATTTTCTTTATTCATACTAGCCTAGTGTAAGCAAAGACTGTATAAGACCAGAGTGAATCAAAGACAATACACAATTTCTTCTAAATATTCTTTTCTAAAACTAGAGGAAAAGATATTTTAGTAACAGATATGGATGGGGAGGGGGTGGTAGGGACAGTATTAATCCCCAGGTTTGTATTTCATGAGCCAGGAAAATATAAATGAAAGTATGGGCAGGGGCCAAAAATGTAGGGTAGTCAAGTATAGTTTATCAAGTAAAGACACTAAAAACTGATTATTATCATTTCATTCAAGAAAGGTGATTTTTCATTGCTTCAGGAGTAAGAAGAAATGTGATCTAATGAATGATAGTCCTTTAAGTTAAATACAGTTAGCTGAAAAGAAGTCCTAGATTTTTTTTATTTTTCATGTCATTTCAGAATTGTGAAAACTCTATTAGGGAACCCCTAGGCTAACTGGCCTAAGATCGAGTGACTGATAGTGACTGACTTTTCTATTTACTGCCATGACTTTGTTCCTTTCCTTTTACTAATCAATTATTGCCCTTGATCTTTGAGCTTACTACCTTATCTAAATGCTGCGTAACAGGTACTAAAAGTTCTCATAGAGGCAGTCTCTGTAACAAAAAGGTGAAAGAAACCATGAAGAGAAAGTTTTGGCAAGAAGCACAGTGGCCATATGAAATTATTAAGATAATTTGGGTGAATCTCTAAATTTGTTAGTGGAGACTTTTTTCCATAATCCTAGGGAAGAAGTATGTTATGATCCTGCTTTTCCATCCTTACTTCCTAATCACATATGTCATACTTTACTTCTGTTCTCATCTTAAATCGCCGAGGTTCTGAGTGCTCTATTATAGTTTTTTTTTTTTTTGTCGGTCGTGGGGCTTGAACTCGGCCTGGGCGTTGTCCCTCAGCTCTTCAACTCAAGGCGAGCGCTCTACCACTTGAGCTACAGCGCCACTTCCTTCTCTTTTCATCTTAAACTAAGCATAGCCAAAATGTTGATAAGGTTGTATTTAGTATTAAAACTTACTTTGAGCTGCAATTGATATTTGAACTATCCCTTATTTTCTTTTTAGAAATATTTTGTGCTAGTTGTAGGCCTTGAACTCAGGGCCTGGACACTGTCCCTGTGCTTTTTTGGCTCATAGCTAGCACTCTACCACTTGAGACAAAGCTTCATTTCCAGCTTTTTTGGGAGGGGGAGTGGCTAATTGGAGATAAGAAACTCATTAGTTTTCTTACCTAGGCTGGCTTTGAGCCACAATCCTTAGATCTCAGCCTCCTGAGTAGACAAGATTAAAGGCATGAGCCACTAGCATCTAGCTTAGAATTTTTTTTTAACAGCTCTCCTCCACTAGGACTATCTGTTCTACACTTTTATGTATTATATATGAAAATGTTTCCATAATTTTTTCTGTGCCTTGCAACTGAAGCATTTATCTGAGTGGTTGCTTACTTACTGAGAATTTCTTACATAGAATTTCTTTTGTTGTTGTTGTTGTTGGTTGTGGCTTGAACTCAGGGTCTGGGTGCTGTCCAGGAGCTCTCTTGCTCAAGGCTAGCACTCTACCACTTTGAGTCACAGCTCCACTTCCGGTTTTTCAGTGGTTAATTTCAGATAAGAAACACAGGGAGTTTTCTGCCCTGGCTGGCTTTGAACCACGATCCTCAGATCTCAGCCTTCTGAGTAGCTAGGATTGCAGGTGTGAGCCACCAGTAAGTACCTGGTGCTTATGTAGAATTTCTTATATAGAAATTAATAAAACCTTTCTTTCCCCTAAAAAGACACTTTGATTCAAAGGTACTGACTCCAGATTGCAAACGAGGGAGATGGGCAGCATGTACTATCTATTAAAGTGAAATTGTAACATAAATGAGTTTAAATTTTAAAATTTTAGAAATATAACTAGCTAGATATTGTGTTATATGTCATTTGTTTAATTTTCACAACAAACTTATGATAGTTTTATTATTATTAGTATTTTATTTTATTTTTTGGTCCAGTCGTGGGGCCTGAACTCTGGGCCTGGGCACTGTCCCTCAGCTCTTCAGCTCAAGACTAGCACTCTACCACTTGACCACAGCGCCACTCCAGCTTTTTTCTTTTTGCTTATGTGGTGCTGAGGAATAGAACCCAGGGCCTCATGCATGCAAGGCAAGTGCTCTACCACTGAGCCACCTTCCCAGCCCCTTTTTTATTATTTTCTTTGTGTGTGTGTGTGTGTGTGTGTGTGTGTGTGTGTGTGTGTTTGCCTGCCAGTGCTGGAGTTTGAACTCAGGGCCTGGGTACCTGATCACTTGAGCTGTAACTCCACCTTTGGCATTTTGATGGTTTATTAGCGATAAGAATCTCATGGATTTTCCTACCCAGGCTGGCTTTGAACCACAACTTGGAGATCTCAGTCTCCTGAGAAATTAGGATTACACCACCAGTGTGCCTGGCCATGTTATTCCCATTTTATAATGCAGAAAACACAGGCATAGAGAGGTTGGATAACTCACTCAGGTCACAGAACTGAGTGGTTTTTACTAGTTGTCAGGATTTTAATCTGGAGTTAGGGTTTTAATTTAGGTAATCTGACTTTGGAGTGTTTCTTCCTGACTATAAGTCACTTGAAGTAGCTTTGAAAATTCAAAAGTATGCATAGTGTAAATCTCTGAAAAATATTTAAAGGAAATCTGAGCGTACATTCTAAGAAAAGACTACTTGCAGATAGATTTAGGGTGAAACTATCAGCATTTTTTGAAAGTTTCAAATTCTTAAGGCCAGATCTAGATCACCGTTAAGAAACACTAGAGAAGCAGCCCAGCAGTCCATATTTTAATATTTCTTCTGTATGATTCTGGAGTATGCTAAAATTTTGAAAAAATATCCCCCAAAACTTCTGTAGAAGCTAGTATAGAAAACCAAATCTGAGACAGGAGCTCAAAGTGGTACGAAAAGATTAAATATGACAGATTTAATGAGTGGTATGGAAAAAGAGCTAGATACAGAATACATTATTATAAACACCTAGAGTATTAAAAGAAAACATTATTTGTATGTTTTAGAAGGCTAAAGGAAAGGAAAAAGATGCAATTTAAATGTGTGAGAGAAGAGATACATAATCCATATTGCTGTGATTCTTCTAGGGTCCAGAAGACCAGCAAAAAAGGTGCTTAGCTTAGCCTGGAACTAGTCTAGCTAGTTGTATATGACTAGACATGGTTCCCAGAACTCAAGCCCTGAAGATTACTAGAGAGAAGAAAGGGTTAAGAACATTACAAGATAGCACTGTGAGCCTATGCTTTGTACCTGAATCAAGCTAACTGAATACCACAAACTGCTTTTATGAGATGCCTCAGCCTAAGTAATTTGAATGCTAGGTTTCTTCATGTAATCGTTTAAGTTGGGTATGCTGGAAGAACTAAAGCCTCTTTTTTGGCCGGTGGGTGGGAATGGCATAATATAGAAACTAGAGAGAATGAAGAGTACAGGTTATTCTTTGAATACATCACATACCTATCCTCTATGGAGTTGACTTAAAGAACATATTCATGGTCATTTAGCACAGGATACCCCCATTTTGTGTCATTCTTCTTGGTAGGGGTTTATCCTTCACATTTGTTTTATTTGCTAGTTTTATGTATTTAAATAATATGATCAAATGCTAACAAATGCTTTTCAATCTTGTTCCTTGTTCTGATTTGTGTTTATTTTTAGTATCAGAAAAGTTCTACTGTAAGCCATGAGATGTCTGGTCTGAATTGGAAACCCTTTGTTTATGGCGGCCTTGCCTCTATTGTTGCTGAGTTTGGTAAGAATGTAAAAACAATGAAAAATCTGTTATAGATGATGATATAAAGTGATAGTTATTTTTGGTGAAAACTAAAGAGAAGTAAAATTTCCCTCTGTTTAAAAACTGGTGTCTGCCGGGTGCTGATGGCTCATGCCTGTAATCCTAGCTACTCAGGAGGCTGAGATCTGAGGTTTGAGGTTCAAAGACAGCCTGGGCAGGAAAGTCTGTGAGACTCATCTCCAGTAAACTATTCAGAAAAGCTAGAAGTGGTGCTGTGGGTCAAGTGGTAGAGCGCTAGCCTTGAGCTGAAGAGCTGAGGGACAGCGCCCAGGCCCAGAGTTCAAGCCCCATGACCAACCAACCCCCAACCCCCCAAAAAACTGGAGTCTCAAAGCCATCAACTAACATTTCTGAGAAAGTACTACTAATAGTATAATAAATGAAGTTAAGAAAGTCAATCGTTAGAAACTCTTTTGATAGTTTAGTAATTTGCTAGTTTGGTAAGCTTAATATATAAAAATGTAGGAATTTTGTTGTCTTCCTGTACTAATGGTCTTCCTTTTTTTTGCCAGTCCTGGGGCTTGAACTCAGGGCCTGAGCCTCTTTTGCTCATGGCTAGCACTCTACCACTTTAGCCACAGCAACACTTTCGGCTTTTTCTGTGTATATGGTACTGAGGAATTGAACCCAGGGCTTCATGCATGCTAGGCAAGCACTCTACCACCAAGCCACATTCTCAGCCCATGGCTGTCTTCTTAAGTTGTTTATAACTTTCTTAGTAAGTTTTACTTGAAAACAGGCTTTTTGTTTTCAAATTTCTTTCTTGTTTCAGAAGGAAGCTAACAAGATTGAGAAAGATTGATTATTCTCTATATGATTCTAATTTTGAAATATTTTTAGATTCTGACTTTTTTTACATTTTCCAGAAAATTTTATTCCTGAACTATTCATAAGTGACTACGCTCTAGCAATCTGTTGACTTTCTTGGTATATGTTCTGATCTTATGATATCTAGCTATATACTCACCTTGTTAGTTTTGGGTCTTAAAATACTACGTTATGTGTCATAATGTTGCATTTCATTTTACCACATTCTTATCTCTTGTCCTTTGACAATGATATTCTAGGACAGGTCTTTTATGTGTTACAGGATGCACTGTTATTGTGTGTGTCTGTGTCTGTGTATGTGCTAGGCCTGGGGCCTGGGGCTGTCCCTGAGCTGTTGCACTCAATGGGAGCATTTCATCACTTGAGCCACAGCTCCACTTCTGGCTTTTTTGTAGTGTCATCGGAAATAATTGTCTCACAGACTTTCCTGCCCGGGCTGACTTGGAACCTCAATCCTGAGATCTCAGTTGCTAGGATTACAGCTATGAGCCACTGGTGCTCAGCTTCTACTACGCTTTCATATATTATTTTTGTCTTACATTTAGACAATACCTACTTGTGACTCTTTGGAAATACTTATGAGTATGTTTTTTGTTAAATAGGAACTTTTCCTGTGGATCTTACCAAAACACGGCTTCAAGTCCAAGGCCAAAGCATCGATGTTCGATTCAAAGAGATAAAATATAGAGGGATGTTTCATGCCCTGTTTCGAATCTATAAGGAAGAAGGTATCTTGGCTCTGTATTCAGGGTAAGATTGGATTCTTTCCTTATATCATGAACAGAAATGATTTCTTTTTGTCAGTCATGTGGCTTGAACTCTAGGCCTCGGCGCTGTCCCTAAGCTCTTCAGCTCAAAAGGCTAGTACTCTACCACTTGAGCCACAGTGCCACTTCTAGCTTTTTCTGTTTATGTAGTGCTGAGGACTCAAACCAGGGCATCATGCATGCAAGGTAAGCACTTTACTGCTGAGCCACCTTCCCAGCCCCAGAAATGATTTTTACAGAGGCCATATATTTCAACTATATGATAGTTTATGTCCTTTGTATTTATCATTTCAACTTGTAATTCCATATTGATGATCCAGTTTATATTTTACCTGCCTGAAAGTCTTGGGTTTTGGATTTTGAGTTTGTCTGGCTGATAAATATTAAAATGGATAGATTCTTTTTTTTTGGGTCTGGTAGTGGGGCCTGAACTCTGGGCCTGGGTGCTGTCCCTCCGCTCTTCAGCTCAAGACTAGCGCTCTACCACTTGAGCCACAGAGCCACTTCTGGCTTTTTTTTCCTGCTTATGTGGTGCTGAGGAATCAAACCCAGGGCCTCATGTATGCAAGGCAAGCGCTATACCACTGAGCCACCTTCCCAGCCTCATGGATAGATTCTTATAGCATAGGCTTTCTCCTGGTTTCTTGAAATGCCTCAGTGATTATTGTTGACAGCAACACCAATTAACAATATATTATTGGTGATCTTTTTCCTGTTGACAAATACTGACTTCCTTTAAGAGTTTCATCTAAAGAAATATCTTTATGAGCTGGGCACTGGTGCTCATACCTGTAATGCTAGCTATTCAGGAGGCTGAGATCTGAGGATTGAAGTTTGAAGCCAGCCTGGGCAAGAAAGTCCATGGAATCTTATCTCCAATTAACCACCAGAAAACCGGAAATGGCACTGTGGGTCAAGTGGCTAGCCTTGAGCAGAGAAAGCTCATGGAGCTCAGAGAGACAAATAGCTCATATTTTCCTCTTATATGCAGAAACTAGATCTAAAATACATGAGGGCATGATAAATTATACAGGACCCTAAACATTCACAGTGAGACCAAAGAGCATACTCTATTTTTTTTTTGTTGTTGTTCATGGGGCCTGAACTCTGGGCCTGGGTGTTGTCCCTGAGCTCTTCAGCTCAAGGCTGGCGCTATACCACTTGAGCCACTTGGCTTTTTCTGCTTATGTGGTGCTGAGGAATCAAACCTAGGGCCTCATGCATGCAAGGGAAGCACTCTACCACTGAGCCACCTTCCCAGCCCAAAGGAGTATAGATACTCTTAGAGGAGGAACACAAAGGCACAATGCCTATGTGCCTCTGACCATATAATATTCATCAGAATGAACTCTACAAAATAGAAACAAGAGGTTTTCTTCTTTGTTGTTGCTTTTGTTTTCTTTTCTTTTGTCTTTTTCATTTATCTATCTTTTGGAGAGTAAGGGGGAGACACAGAAATGGAGGGACCAAATGCAGCAGTGGTACTCACTAGACACTGTGTTGAAAATGAACTTGGGGCTGGGGATGGGGCTGAGAGCGAGTGAGGAAAGGAGTGACCTTGTCCAAAAGAAATGCATTGTTTACTTGACTTACGTAATTGTAACCCTCTCTGTTCATCATCTTTTTTTTTTTTTTTTTTGGGTCCGGTCGTCGGGCCTGAACTCTGGGCCAAGGCGCTGTCCCTCAGTTCTTCAGCTCAAGGCTAGCGCTCTACCACTTGAGCCACAGCTCCACTTCCGGCTTTTTTCTTTTTGCTTATGTGGTGCTGAGGAATCGAGCCCAGGGCCTCAGGCATGCAAGGCAAGCGCTCTACCACTGAGCCACCTTCCCAGCCCCCAATCACCCTTCTAATAACAATAAAAAATTTAAAAAAATCTCAGGGACAGCTCCTAGGCCCTGAGTCACAAGACTGGCACGTACACACAAAAACAAATATTCTGGCAATGTAAGCAGAAATGCGTAGTGATAGAGAAGAAGAGCCATCTTTTTTGATCAATTTTTGATTCACTGTCAGTTTGATTTATTTTTTGTAGTTTATCTACTGTCAATTTCCTAGGTCATCATAATTTAGGCTACCAGTTTTGCTCACAAAATGGAAAGCAGTTCTATCAGTAACCAATATTATTTAAAAGATAATTTTCTTAGAAAAAAATAATCATCATCTTTACACAAATGATTGATGGATCATGTGTTTTTATGTTTTTTTTCAGCAGAATGGATTTTTCCCTAATAGAAAGCAATAAAATCAGAAATATGCATATTTAGTCATGTATTTTTAATCCTTATCACTTGAACTGTATACCTCCTAATATATAGCTTTGTGATATGGAGGAATCTCAAAGACAGTATGAGAATATTTCCAGTTTATGAGCAGAACTGAAATTGATTGAAATCTTGGTTCCAATATATTCTTGTTGATAAGAACAAAGATGTATTGCAACTGTTAAAGATTGTTTTTTTTTAAATAAATATGCAAGATGGGTAATAGTGTATATGTTTGCTGTACATTGCTAGGTTCAATTTGCTAATCTTTTTTTGTGTTGATCTGGGGTTGAACTTGAATAAATTTTAATTTTCAAGTCTATGCTCTATGCATTTAAAAAGTCTTTTGAGATTTTCTCAGCATTTTCCTTATTGACTTACAGTTTGCTTCTGTTATGGTCATCAAATACATGCTATGCTTTCAGTTTTTTTAATGTGTTGAGTTTTTTATTTTTACCATAGATATGTGCTTCCTTGGTCAGTGTTTCAAAACTTCATATTCTACTTTTCTTGGATGGAATAAGATGGGTAAAAGTAATGAGTAGGCTATCCACATATGTATAATTGTTGGATACATGCCAAGTAAAGTTAACTTTTCTGTATTTCTCTTTTTTGGGGGAGGCAGAATTGCTCCTGCTTTACTAAGACAGGCATCATATGGCACCATTAAAATTGGGATTTACCAAAGCTTGAAGCGATTATTTGTGGAACGTTTGGAAGGTAGGTATCTTCAGCTCAAAGGGATCATGCTTAATGTGAAGTGCTTATCACATGATGCCTGAGAATGGAGGACAGTCACTGTAAAGATCATTTGAGCTTGTATTTGACTTGGGATAAATCTTTGCAGAGATGATGTATAGGAAGAGGGACCTTCTCAAATTTGTCTTTTTCCTATCAAAATAAAAGCCTTCTAGTTAGCCCTGAAGCATGGAACAATCATGTCCAGGAAAATTAATGGTATCCTCATTAGTAAGAGGACTTTTACCTATAAAGCATTTTCTAGTCGCCAATTTTGATAAACTTTTGTTAGGTCGATTACTTTTAGGATATCATGTTCTAGATTGCAATGTATTTATGGCCCTGATATACATGCAGCATTGTTATATATCTCTCCATTAGCTGCTGCAGCACTTTCAGCCTGATACTTACTCAATGGTTGTTTTGCCATAGGCCTGGGACTGTTGGATGGTTGGGAACAGCTGGAGAGCCTTTCGGTTAGTAATGCCCTTTCAATCGCTTTATTATCCTAAATAAGCTGTATCTAGAGCTTCTTCTTTGGGGATCCCGAAGGATTCCCTTCGACCTCTTTCTCAAATAATTTCCTTTTATAGACTTTTTTCTTGGGTTTACTAAATTTCTCTATGTAGGCTCTTCATGGTGGGGTGGTGATGAAGATTGAATCTTCCTTGTAGAAAAATGTGCTCTGTGGTTTTGTGGTGTTTTTTTTTTTCCCCCTAGCTGATGGGATTTAGTTCTAAATTACTGCTTCTTTTTGCTGAGGGTGTTAGCTTAGGGGTAGAATGCTTGCCTAGCATGTGTAAGATCTTGCTTTTGCTCCTGTGTTGCAAGTTTTTCTCAGGGTCTCAGATTCAAGAAGGCTGCAGAAAGATGCCAGACAGGGTGGGCATGGAGGTCATGTTTATTACCAGGCTCCCTGTCCATTGAATTATCACTAGCAGTACCCATTGCTTAATCACACATTCTTCATTGGCCCATCCCAGCATAGACTCACAGTCTCTGCACAGCAGCACCAGCTTCATTCTCTTCATAGGTTCGCATTCTCTCTCTCACTGGCAGCATCCCTCATACCTTGTCCTTCAGTGGTAACACACTGCCCAACAGGGTTACCTGTTTATATCCTCTCTAGACTAAAGTAGCATTTGACTAAGGATGGTTATATATACACACTTAGTCTCAAGGACATGTTCAGGGTTACCTAAGGTAGCACATGCATACATAGCTGACAATTATATCAATATGCTGAAACCATCTGAATCTCAGTTTTGGGGATGTATAGGGCTAAAGAACCCCAGAAGTTACAGATGAGAAAGCCTGACTTACTCCATTTACCCTACAGCTCCTCAATTCTGCAAAAATACTGTTTTTTTAATATTTGACTACTGGAGTCCTGTAAATAAATAGAAGCTAATAGATATTTAAAGCTAACCAAATTAATATTTACATAACTTTTCAATTAGACATAAGATTTTATTTTATAATATTCAGTTCCAGAGCCTTAACAGTTGGTTCTTATACGTGAAAAAGCTTTATTTTAATGTTATCTTTTTGAAGTGGTTTTACCACATTCTTAATTCCTGCAGTTTACTGACATTTATGTAGAACAGGATATGTTCTATTGCCCTTTAGTTTAGTTTATAATGTTTTTAGAAATTATTTATATTTTGTAATTTTTAGATGTTTTGTAGTAATGTGGGATCTAGACATACTGAAGTTCCTTTACTTTCATTAGCTTTGTAGTTTATTTCTAAAGTCATCTCTCTGACCCAGGTTCTCTTTCTCTAATATCTCAGTGCTCTTCTTGCAGAAATTAGTGCCTAATAAAAGCAGATCTTTTAAAAATCTTTTTTACAGATGAAACTCTTCTAATTAATATGATCTGTGGTGTAGTGTCAGGAGTGATATCTTCCACTATAGCCAACCCCACCGATGTTCTAAAGGTAAGAGAGATGGATGTGTTCAGAATGATTTGAAGAGAGTACAACCTTTAAGTAAGATTCCTACTCTGCATTGACAAGTATTAAAAACTTTGGGTAGAGCTGGGTGCTGGTGGCTCAAGCCTGTAATGCTAGCTATTCAGTAGGCTGAGATCTGAGGATTGAGGGTTGAAGCCAGCCTGGACAGGAAAGTCTGTGAGACTCTTATCTCCAGTAAATTACACAGAAAAAGCTGGAAGTGGTACTTTGAGTGGAGTAGAAGAGCACCAGCTTTGAGCAAAAGAAGTTCAGGGATAGAGCACAGAGTTCAAGCCCCAGGACTGGCAAAAAGGTATATTTTATAAATGTAACCCCTCTATATATCTCCTTTATTATAATAATAACACAATTTTTAAAAATGGTATATTTAGGCCTGTATTAAGATATTCTGAATTGAGAAACAGCACTATGAATTACCTGTGCTGATGTGTTAAAATTTTAACTAATCACAGAATGAAACACTTATTTTAAAATCAATTTTTGAGAATGTGGCTTAATGGTTAAAAGTGCTTGCCTAGCATGCATGAAACCCTGGGTTTGATTCATCAGTACCACAAGAACAGAAAATGCCAGAAGTGGTGCTGTGGCTATAGTGGTAGAGTGCTAGCCTTGAGCAAAAGAAGCTCAAGGACAGCACCTGGGCCCTGAGTTCAAGCCCCAGGACTGGCAAAAACAAAAACAACCTCCCCAAAAACAGAACCAATAAAATCAATTTTTATATTTATTTTATAAATGGTAAATATTTCCTATTCATTAATATTTCAATTTATGTTGATTGAGAGCAATAAATATATGACTTAAGGATATGAGAGCATCTAAAAATTTTAAAAATTATTAGTATTATTTTTCTGGCAAGCCCTGAATCTTAAAATTGGGGCCTATGCCCTGTCCCTGAGCTTTTTTGCTCAAGGGTAGTATTCTACCACTTGTGTCACAGCTCCACTCCTGCTGTTTTGGTGCTTAAGTGGGGATAATTGTCTAATGGACTTTCCTGCCCAGCATGAACTGGGATTATAGGTGTGTGCAGTTGGCACACGGCTATTTTAAAATATTATTTTAAGGGAGATATGAGACAAAAGTCAGAGGATGCATACTTCAAAAACAGAAGGTTAGTGAAGAAATCTTTACCAATTCAGAGAGTTATAATGACTTAATGGTGTGAAAAGAAGCACATATTAAAAAAAACCACTAGTAGTTGATTGAGAAAAAGTATACACTAATCTTTCTGGATTAAAGTCAGAGTAATTTAGCTACAGGATTTTCATCACTTTAGAAGTACAGAATAAATATGAAGACACAAGACTGTATCCTAAAACTAGAGTATCTGCAACCTAATTATACTTGTTAGAATATACATGTCAAGAAAAATAATACTTAGTTCCCTCAAACTTCCTTATCAATCTGATTTCTAGACTTAATTTACCAAAGCCATCCTCTTCAATTTCTTGTCCTTATTACCACCACTGACCAGTGCTTCCATTTACCTTTTCCTTCCTTCTACCTCTATAGTATTGAATGGTGCTGGACAAGTTTCTGTCTCCTGGAATTTGTTTTCATACATTGTTTTACATGTTCAGGAGAGTTATACCTTTGGGTTCCTCCCCTACCTATATCTTCCTTTGGTCTGTTTGTGTGTGAATGCCTGAAGTTGTGTTTAGGTGAACATGTCCAGCTGTATTTTAGATTGGCTTCCACATATGAGAGAATACATACACCATTAATCTCTTTCAGCTTGGCTTAACTCACTTAACATGTTTTGTCTTTTCCCTGCAAGTGACATAATATTATTCTTTCTAATGGATATGTAAAATTTGTGCTTCATTTTCTTCATCATTTTCTCCCTGTATTCTTCTAGTTGATTGTGGATTTGCCCATTTATTTCATCAGCCAATTCACTCCTCATTAACAATTCTTTTGTTCTTCCTCTCTTCATCTTTTCTAACTAAAGTCCTCCCCCTGAGTTGTTGTTGGTTTTTGAGGGTAGCATTTTGTTGTGATTGCTCATGAATTTTGTGGTCTTTTACTGTGATTTATGCATTTGGCTTTAGGGTATGTAGAGGCCATTCAGTTTAGGTATTAAATTCATGATGAGATGCAGAAGCTTTGCTGGACTTCGTGCTAGTCTTGGGGTTTGAACTCAGTGTCTGGGTGATATCCCTCAGCTTTTTTTGCTCAAGGCTATCACTCTGCTTAAGCCACAGCTCCACTTCCAGCTTTTTGGTGGTTAATTGGAAATAAGAATCTCATAGACTTTTCTGGCTGAACTACGATCTTTAGATCAGTCTCCTGAGTGGCTAAGATTATAACATGAGCCACCAGTGCCTGACAGCAATTTCTGTTTTATCAAAAATAAAATTAGAGCTGGGCGCTGGTGGCTCACGCCTGTAATCCTAGCTACTCAGGAGGCTGAGATCTGAGGATCACGGTTCAAAGCCAGCCCGGGCAGGAAAGACTGTGAGACTCCTATCTCCAATAAATCACCAGAAAACCAGAAGTGGCTCTGTAGCTCAAGTGGTAGAGCACTTGGCTTGAGCTGAAAAGCTGAGAGACAGCACGCAGGACCAGAGTTCAAGCCCCATGACCGACCAAAAAAAAGTAAAAAAAATTAAAAATAAATAAAATTAGGATTGCTGCCTGTGGCTCATGCCTACAACCCTAGCTACTTAGGAGGTTAAGATCCAAGGACTGCAGACTGGTCAATTACATGAAATTTATCTCCACTTAACCAGCAAAAACCTAGAAGTAGAGGTGTGGCTCAGGTGGTGGAGCACCAGCCCTGACTATAAAATCTAATTTTGACCTCAGGGTCCTGAGTTCAAACCCCAGAACCATGATAAAAATAAGTTAATAAATAGATAGATTAAAAAAGCAGGGTATATTAGGAAAAATTTTATTGTAGAAAGTATATATTATGATCCACAAGACTTCAACCCAAGTGATAAGTAGCTTGCCTTATGGCAGATACAACAGAGTTTAAAGTGAATAAAGGAGGAAGTAGAATTGTCCCTCAGAATCTATAGGGCTATGGGTTCTACCTTACCAAAAATCCTTGGATGTTGAAGTCACTTATTAGAATAGCTTAGTATTTGCACATAATATATACACATCCTCCCATGTTCTTTAAATCATCTGTAGATTTAATACTTAATATATAATTCTTAATATATTATGGGATATAAATGACTATTATTCTGTATTATTCTAGTAATAATGACATGGCAGAACTCCAAATATTTTTTATCAGTAGTTATTTGAATTCACATACAGAACTGTGGATGTGGAGGGATGACTATAGTTTGACCTTTTTTTCATATATTATTCTTTGTTTTGATGGTGATAGGGTTTGAACTCAGAACCTTGTGTTTTATAGGTAAGTGATGTACCACTTGGGTCATACCTCCAGACCTTTTTGTTTTATTTTTCAAATGTGTTGACTATTCTGGACTGTTACCTTCCTATTTGTTTATTTCCTGCATATCTGGGATAATAGGTGGTCTACTACCATAATCAGCTTTAATGGTTGAGATCGTAGTCTTACAAATCTTTGGTCTGGGCCATCTTTTTTTTTTTTTTTTGATCATGGGGCTTGAACTCTGGGCCTGGCGCTGTCCCGCAGTTCTTCAGCTCAAGACGAACGCTCTACCACTTGAACTACAGTGCCACTTCTGGTTTTCTGGTGGTTTATTGGAGATAGGAGTCTTACGGTCTTTCCTGCCCGGGCTGGCTTTGAACCGTGATCCTCAGATCTCAGCCTCCTGAGTAGCTAGGATTACAGGCGTGAGCCACTAGCACCCGGCTTGGGCTGTCTTTGAAATGTAATCTTCCCAATCTCTACATCCAAAGTAAGAATAAGCTACCATATCCTGCCTCTTATATTATACTTTTATAAGGCAAACAGATTTTAAGCTTACTATTCTATAATTAATTAGTTTTATTTCCTTGAATCATGCTGACTAGGACATAAAGCTTACATTTTTTGGCCAGTCTTGAGGCTTGAACTCAAGGCCTAGGTGCTGTCCTTGAGCTTCTTTTGTGTAGCACTCTACCACTTGAGCCACAGGGTCACTTTTGGCTTTTTCTGTATATGTGGTACTGAGGAATCAAACCCAGGGCTTCCTGAATGCTAAGCAAGCACTCTACCACTAAGCCACATTTCCTGCCCCATAAAGCATACATTTTGTGTTCATGCTTACATTTAATGTTTGGGGGAAATAAGGATAAATTAACTGTTGGATGATAAATGCTTGGCCTTGGGTTATATCTCAACTGCGGCCTCCCTTTTTGTTTTTGGCAGTTTAAATTTTTTGTATAGTTTTTGATAATTTAAAATATAAACAAAATAGAGAAAAGCCTAGGATAATGAACATTTTTGCATCACCTAGATTCTCTTGCCTCACTTTAGTTCAAGTTCTGTTCAAGAATCACCTCCTCGAAGAAATGTTATTATTGTTGGGTAGTTTTGATTTGTCCTTGAGATAATTAACATCTTGATTTAATTGGATTAAGAGTTTTTTTGTGCCAGTCCTAAGACTGTCACAAACTCAAGGCCTGGCCACTGTCCCAAAACTCAGGAACTGGGTGATGTCCCTGAGCTTTTTTTGCTCAAGGCTAGCACTCTACCGATTGAGCCACAGCTTTACTTCCAGCTTTTGGTGGCTAAATGGAGATAAAACATCTCATGGACTAGTCTTGCTTTGAACTGTAATCTTCAGAGTTGAGTTCTGAGTAGCTAGAATTACAGGTGTGAGCCACTGGTAAGCCTGGCTTACATTAAGTTTTTTATTTCAAAGCTACTACTTGTGTTAGTAGTTGACTTTCTGTATAAAAGCATGCTCCTTATACAAGATTTAGCAAAGTCATTTATTGAAACCTAAAATTCTCTAAATCAAACCTATATTTGGATTACTGGTGTTTAATACTGGACTATTGAGTTCTATGTGTATGGAGTCTGTGGGAAATTGTATCTAATCTTTTACATGGCTATTTAATGCTGTCTTTATTTTTCTTGAAGCTCCCGAACTTTTAAGAAATATAACTCAGTGTAAGGTCTACTAAACATAAAATTATAAAAATGTATATATATATATATATATATATATATTTGTTGTTTGTGGGGCTTGAACTCTGGGATTGGGTGCTATTCCTGTGTTCTTCAGCTCAAGGAGAGCTCTCTACTGCTTGAGCCGCAGTGCCACTTCTCATTTTCTGGTGGTTAATTGGAGATAAGAGTCTCACGAACTTTCCTGTCTGGGCTGGCTTTGAACCATGATCCTCAAATCTCAGCCTCCTGAATAGCTAGCCTTACAGGCATGAGTCACCGGCACCCAGCAAAAATGATATTTTAGCACATTATTTATTTATTTATTGCTGGTCCTGGAGCTTGAACTCTCTGTTTTCTTTGGTGCAAAGCTAGTGTTCTACCACTGAGCCACAGCCCCTCGTCTGACTTTTTCTGAGTAGTTTATTTGAGATGAGTTAATTGGAGATAAGAGTCTCACGGACTTTCTTGCCCAGGCTGGCTTCGAGCCACGATCCTCAGATTTCACCCTCCTGAGTAGCGAGGATTACAATTGTGAGCCACCAGTGTCTGGGATATTTTTATTTTTTAATTGTATACTCAATAAGTGTTCAATGTAGAAAAAATGGAAAGTAGAAAAAAACACAAAAGAGAAAAAGTCCCAATTGTAGCATCATCATTTAGACATAAACCACTGTTACAATTTGGGTATGTATGTTCATCTAGTCTCCTTGCTGTGTTTATAGGTATTTTAACGATATGTTTAATAAGAATTGTATATAAATCTTCCTTTGTAACTCTCTAGCTAACAATTTTTATATTTTCTAATGTCAACAAGTATTCTGTTGGAAAATTTTATTACTCTGTAGCATTCCATTGTATGATATTCCATCATAATTTATTTAACCAATCTGTTTTAGTCTTTTTGGATATTTAGGTTGTTTTTAATTTTCCACTGAAGTAATTCTATCTTAAGAATTATAATTTGCACTCATCAAATACTTGTTTTTTCCCTCCCAATTTTCTTGCAACTCCAGAAATGATGGACTTAGTATAAGGAATGTAAGGCTAAATAAAATCATCTTTAATTTGTGCTGGTCCTGGGGCTTGAACTCAGCGCCTGGGTGCTGTCCCTTAGCCTTTTCACTCAAGGCTAGCACTCTACCACTTGAGCCTCAGTTCCACTTCTAGCTATTTTTGGTGATTAATTGGAGATAAGAATCTCATAGACTTTCCTGCTTAGGCTGGCTTTGAACTGTGATCCTCAGATTTCAGCTAAGATTATAAGTGTAAGCCATAGCACCCAGTTTAATAACAATAATCTCTGTAAATTATCCTTTGATAGAAATGACATTTTATATAAAATATATGTCCGTTTACCTCATTAATTTTATCATAAAAGCAGAGATTTTTTTGAGATCTCCCAAATACTTTTGCTTAATTTTAAAAGAGTAATAACATATCTCATTTTGGTTATCTCTGTCAAAATGAAATGTTCACTTGCACATTTAGATTCGAATGCAGGCACAAGGGAACCTGTTCCAAGGAAGCATGATTGGCAGCTTCATTGATATATACCAGCAAGAAGGCACCAGGGGTCTGTGGAGAGTGAGTATTCTTTTTCTCATATTGTTCTATAATCTCAAAGATCTTGAAGAGAATATTTTTATATAAAGCCAAATAATGGTGACATAACACCATATAAAAGTTAAGAAACTCCTTATCACCTATAAAAGGACCAAACTTTACAGTTGGTCTTTGCTCCTGCTTTAATGTTTCAAGATTGTATATTTAGGAAAATTGACAACATTGAAACTACTATTTTGATTTGTTCAAATTTACAGAAAATTTATTCTTTTTTTTTTTTTTTTTTGGGTCTGGTCATGGGGCCTGAACTCTGGGCCTGGGCGCTGTCCCTCAGCTCTTCAGCTCAAGGCTAGCGCTCTACCACTCCAGCCACAGCACCACTTCCGGCTTTTTTCTTTTTGCTTATGTGGTGCTGAGGAATCGAACCCAGGGCCTCGTGCATGCAAGGCAAGTGCTCTACCACTGAGCCACCTTCCCAGCCCCAGAAAATTTATTCTTAAGTATAGTTTTTGCCAGTTTTGAATTAAATTCAGCATTTTTGTCTGTGATGCTCATTGTAGTGCTTATGTTCAAAGTTATCTATTTACTTACTTATTTTTGGTGATTCTGGGGGAACCACTCAGGATCTTGCACTGTTATACTTGCTAGACCAGTGCTTAACCACTTAGGCTATGTCCCTAGCCCTATAACGTTATCTAGACTAATGTTTTTCACTTTATAAAAAGCAAATGATGCCAGGCAGTGGTAGAATCTTCCTAGTAATCCTAGCACAAGGCAGAGCTCTGAGAATCATCGTTTAAACCAGTCAGGGTAGAAAAATCTATGAGATTCGTATCTCATATTAATCAGCAAAAAGCCAGAAGTGAAGGTGTGGTTTAAGTGGTAGAGTAGCAGATTTAAGCAAAAAAATCAGGCAAGAGCACAAGGCCCTGAGTTCAAGTCCTGCATTCTGCATACACAAAAAAGCAAAAGATAATACTGTAAATGCACAAAAGTAGAAAGAAAAGTTCTAGTAGTCCTACCACCTAGAGATAATCACTATTAATGTTTTTGTCATATTAGCTTCTAGTATTCATTTATACGTTTTTATTGTCAGTTTGGTATAACTTTTTCCCTTATTTGTGCTGGTCCTGGGGCTTGAACTCAGGGCCTGGGTATTGTCCCTGAGCTTTTTTGCTTAAGGTTAGTGCTCTACTACTTGAGCCACAGCTCTATTTCCAGCTTTTTGGTAGTTAATTGGAGACAAGATTCTCACAAACTTTCCTGCCAGGTCTGGCTTCAAACTGCAATTCTCAGACCTCAGCCTCATTAATAACTAAGATTATAGTAGTGAGCCACCAGCTTCTGACTGTTATAACTTTTAAATGTATTGTGATCACTGCTATTCCAGTAGTAAATTAGACTATCAATAGAATATGCAAAAAGTGGAAAGAAATATCTACTAATAGAACTTGCTTTATGTTTTTGGCGGTATTGGGGTTTGAACTCAGGGGTTTGGTCTTGCTAGGAAAGTATGCTACCACTTGAGCTTGAGCCATTATCCTAGCCCTAAATTTAATGGTTTTTTTTTTTTTTTTTTGCTTTTTCATTTTCAAGGTTCAACTGTGTTGCGTTATGCAAACATTCTTCATTTTCTTTCTTTTCTTTTGTGGTGATGGAGATTGAACTCAGAGCCTTGCACATGCTAGGCAAATGCTCTGTATTTCATTTCTTTTTTATGGCCATTGTATGCATATGCTACATTTTTTTGTACCTTAATACTTTTTTTTTTTTTTTTTGCTGGTCCTGGGGTTCAAACTCAAGGTTTGGGCACTGTCACTGACCCTCTTGGTGCACAAGACTAGTGCTATCACTTGAGCCACAGCCCCACGTCAGGGTTTTTCTGTGTAGTTTATTGGAGATAAGAGTCTCGTGGACTTTGCTGCCTGGGCTGGCTTTGAACCAGGATCCTCAGCCTTCTGAGGTAGCTAGGTTTATAGGAATGAGCCATCAGAGCCCAGCTTGTCTAATATGCTCTGGCAACAGTGGCATCATGGCAGTTGCTATGGTATTGGTGTTATGTCTAATGCTTCTGTGAACATTTGTATATATATTACATGAAGATGATATCACTTTTCTTTCTTTTTTTGCCAGTCCTGGGGCTTGAACTCAGGGCCTGGGCACTGTCCCTGAGCTGCTTTTGCTCAAGGCAAGCACTCTACCACTTGAACTACCACAATACCACTTCTGGCTTTTTGTGTTTATGTGGTACTGAGGAATCGAACCCAGGGCTTCATGCATGCGAGGCAAGCCACATTCCCAGCTGTTACCACTTTTCTTGTACACATATCTACATATTAAATTGCTAGGTCATCTGGTAATTTTATGTTAACTTTTTGAAAAATGCTAAATGTTTTCTATAGTTGGTATTTTATTTTCATTTTAACAGCGGTGAATAAGGATTTTAATTTCTCCACGTCTTCACCAACACTCATTAATTTTGAAAATGATTATAAAGCAGCTATCCGTGGTTTGCACCTATAATCCTAGCTACTCAGGAGACTGAGATCTGTGGATTAAAGTTTGAAGCCAGCACAGGAAGAAAAGTCTTGTAGGACTCTTATCACCAATTAAGCAAAAAAATCCAAAAGTGGGGGGGTGTGGCTCAAGTGGTAGAGTGCCAGTGGTAAGAGAAAAAGTTGAGTGAGAGCAAGAGGTCCTGAGTTCAAGCCTCAGGACTGGCACACACAAACACAATGATTATAGCCATCCTAGTAGGTATCAAAAGGCATGCCATTACACTTGGTATAAGTCAGATAGGTTTTTCTAATGACCAGTGTTAAGTGACTTTGTGTGTATTTTATTTTATTATTTTTTTGGAGGGAGGGGGGTTTGGTCGTGGGGCCTGAACTCTGGGCCTGGGCGCTGTCCCTCAGTCTTCAGCTCAAGGCTAGCGTTCTACCACTTGAGCCACAGCGCCACTTCCGGCTTTTTTCTTTTTGCTTATGTGGTGCTGAGGAATCGAACCCAGGGCCTCAGACATGCAAGGCAAGCACTCTACCACTGAGCCACCTTCCCAGCCCCTGTGTGTGCTATTTTATTGGCTACTTGTATATCTTGTTTAGGGGAAATACTTTCCAATCTTTATTGTTGTAAGTTTTTTATTCTGTACCCTGGTCTCTTATCAGAAATTTGATGTACAAATATTTTTCTCCATGTGTGAATTCTCTCATTTTCTTGATAGTATCTTTTATGTCAAAAAGTCTTCAATTATGATGAAATCTAATTTGTCTGTGTTTCTTTTTTCTCTTATACCTTACCTGATATCAATTATTGTATTTTAATGGTAGCAAGTGCTTTGGGAATTTATAAACGTTCCAGTGTTGATTATTGATTTGAAAGAAGAATCTTAGGGTTTTCTGGCCTTTTTCAATTCAACCTATTTTTGTCCACTTGGAGTCTGTGTTATTCTCTATTTCTTTGGAGTATAATGACGCTTGTATTTTGTAGGGTGTGGTCCCAACTGCTCAGCGTGCTGCTATTGTTGTGGGAGTAGAACTACCAGTCTATGATATTACCAAAAAGCATCTGATACTGTCAGGAATGATGGGAGACACCATTTTAACTCACTTTGTGTAAGTAGGATTGTCTTTGTTCATACTTTATTTTCAGGAATTTGAACATTAAATGCCTCTTTCATTTATATCCTCAAATAGAGTAAAACTGGGATGGATGGCCTTAATACTCTTGTCTCGCCTATTGCTAGCCCTTTAAACCTTCTGAATGTTTTATACTTTTCTTGTTTTAGTGTAAATCAATTATACAAAGTAATGGGTTTTAGTATGGTATTTTCATATATATATGTATATATGGTGGTTGGATTGTATTCTCCCTCCCTTCCACTACCCATGCTATCTGTTCTTCTCCATGGAACATTTCCTACTTTACAGAGCTGATTCCAGGTGCTCTGGGCCCTTAGGCTACTTGGGAATAGTATGTACTGTAGTAGTCTAATAGATGTCTATGGAATTTGCACTTGTTCATACATAGCCTGTGCATTTAAAAAGCACATCTATAATTTTCTTGGATTAATTTTTTTTCATGAAGCAAACTCTCAGTGGGAATTAGAAAAAGGGAAGATTTTATAGTTTCTGAAATGAAAGTACACTCTTATCTTCTATTTGGTTTTTCTTGTAACCTTTGTGATATTTTGCTACTCAAATCCATTTGATATATGATGCGGTGGTTTGAAAAACTTATGTAACTAATAGATGATGTATATCACTTCCTGCTTAGTGATCTTGTTAGCCTTGTGTACTCTTGTAAGGAGGAGGCTGAGTTTCAGATTGAAAACTGAATGAAAATGAATGTCTTGTTGGAAAAGTTTTCTTTTCTCTTTAACTTGTAATGAAAGAGTGTCTGGTTTTATCTACAGGCTCTGAATTATTGTACCTATGTGTTTGATATCATTTCTGCTTAGGTGGGCAGTAGGTGGAAATGTGGGCAATCTAAAGTTTTCATCTTTAGTTCCAGCTTTACATGTGGCTTGGCTGGAGCTCTGGCATCCAATCCAGTTGATGTGGTGCGAACTCGAATGATGAATCAGAGGGCAATTGTGGGACATGTTGACCTTTACAAGGGCACTTTGGATGGCATTTTAAAGGTATGCACACTGTGGGTTTAGTTTTCATTTTTCATTTTCTTTGGTGTTTCAGACCATTTTCAGTCCTTATTCTTAGTTGCTATATATCTTCCAAAAAAAATGAAAGAATCATATATATTTTTAGTAGCCGCTCAGAGTTTGTTCCAAGTGGATATTCTGTCTCCTTGGTAATCTGCTGATACATGGTGGTCCTTATAATTATTATTCTAATTTGAGTACTTGAGAATATGTGCTGGATATTTTTATTAATAATACCATGTAGAATTACTGATAGAAAGTACTAATATATCCCCCAGTTGCCCATTACAGATAGGATACCCTGTAATTGAAAACCTGTCACTTTAAAAAACAAAAACATGCCAAATGCTGGCAGCTTAGGTCTGTAATCCTAGCTACTCAGGAGGCTGAAATCTAGAGGATCAAGGTTCAAAGCTACCCTGGGCAGAAAATACTATGAATCTCCATCTTCAGATAACCAACAAGAAGCAAGGTTATAGGTATAACTCAAGTGGTAGAGCTCCAGTCAAGCAAGCAAACCAAGCAAGAGTGGGAGGCCCTAAATTCAAGCCCTAGTACGAGCAAAAAGAACCACCACTACCATTACAACAACAAAACTCTGGTGCTTGATTTAAATTCAGGATTGCTCTGCTGTTCACACTTTGCAGTGTCTCTACTGTTATGTTTGATAAAAGTTGAATATAGCCGGGCGCTGGTGGCTCACGCCTGTAATCCTAGCTACTCAGGAGGCTGAGATCTGAGGATCGCGGTTCAAAGCCAGCCCGGGCAGGAAAGACCGTGAGACTCCTATCTCCAATAAACCACCAGAAAACCGGAAGTGGCGCTGTAGCTCAAGTGGTAGAGCGCTCGCCTTGAGCTGAAGAGCTGAGGGACAGCGCCCAGGCCCAGAGTTCAAGCCCCACGACTGACAAAAAAAAAAAAAAAAGTTGAATATATAAATGTGTTACATAATTATTGGTGATATTACTGCTATGAAAACAAATTTTTTACTAACATATGATGGTGCCATATAATTTCTCTGCTCATCAGTTTCATGGAAAAATATTTATTATATATTAATCAGGCACCATTTTTGTATCTAAAGAGAAATTGTAGTTATTACAAAAATATGGTTGAGGGGCTGGAAAGGTGGCTCAGTGGTAGAGTGCTTGCCTTGCATGCATGAGGCCCTGGGTTCAATTCCTCAGCACCACATAAGCAAAAAGAAAAAAGTCGGAAGTGGTGCTGTGGCTCAAGTGGTAGAGCGCTAGCCTTGAGCTGAAGAGCTGAGGGACAGAGCCCAGGCCCAGAGTTCAGGCCCCACGACCGGACCCAAAAAAAAAAAAAAATACGGTTGACAAACAGATAATCAGTACAGCCTTGTAAGTGATAAATTCCAGAGTTCTATGGGAGAAAATTATAACCCATTTGGGAAGTTGGAAATTAGCTCCCTATTGATGGTAGTAAATTGAATAATAATACTTCACATCTGGTGGGTGCTTTATTGTGTGTTAGGAGCTGTCTAATGAGACTTACATGCATTTAATCATTGAATTCTTGACTTTAACCAACAAGGTAGATACTGAAGCACTGAGGGATCAAATGACCTCCTGGGTTTCACAGCCTATCAGTGTGAGTGTTATGATAAACCCAGACCACTGGAATCAAGCAGTACTTTTTACTGTGGTCCTCATATTGGTGGCTAATGGTTGTTAGGTTTTAAAGGATAGGAAATATTATATTGAGGTGCTTGTACATTTTATTTTGGGGGGAAGATTTGAAAAGTTTTTAATCAGATCAGATTTGAATTGTAAGTACATCATTCTAGGTGGAAACTGGTGGTTCATGCTTGCAATGCTAGCTACTAAGGAGGCTGAGATTTGAGAACCATGGTTCAGAACTAGCCCAGAAACTAGGTAGAAGAGTTTGTGACATTCCATCTCCAATTACCAGCACAAAGCCAGACTGGAGGTGTGAAGTGTGAATTCTGATAGTAGAGCACCAGCTATGAGTAAAGAATTTGAGTGAGCATGAGGCCCCAAGTTCAAGCACCAGTACTGGCAACTAAACAAAACATTCATGCCGGGGCTGGGAAGGTGGCTCAGTGGTAGAGCGCTTGCTTTGCATGCCTGAGGCCCTGGATTCGATTGTTCAGCACCACATAAGCAAAAAGAAAAAAAAAGCCGGAAGTGGCTCCGTGGCTCAAGTGGTAGAGCGCTAGCCTTGAGCTGAAGAGCTGAGGGACAGTGCCCAGGCCCAGAAAAAAACAAAAACAGAAAAACTTTCATGTGGCTATTGTCTGTAGGCCTTAATTTCATAATAGGTAAGCCTGTCTTTATGAGGAGATATCTGGTTTCCTACAGTGTGAGTAATCCAAGAGAAATGAGATCAATACCTTATTACCATTATCTATCTATCTATCTATCTATCTATCTATCTATCTATCTATCTATCTATCTATCTATCTATCTATCTATCTATCTATCTATCTATCTATCGGCATGAGCCATCAGCACCTGGACATAAAATGTATTTTAAGACATAGTATTGGAAGTGATACATGTATGCTGCTTCTGTATTTTATTGGAGAAATAAACAATCCTGATATATTGTGAGGTGAGAGCCATGAATAACTGAGGTAGTCTTCATTAAGGGCCATCTTGAAAGCTGGCTACTACAGATATTCAAATATGTTTATAATTGTATTCAGCCATAAGAAGTATACATTGTTCAGTAAATATTTTTTGGTTAGGTTTTGTGGATGAATATGAACTCAAAGTATATCCTTAGGAAAAAAGACCATTCATAGAGACGTATTTGCTGAGGTAGGGATGGAAGATGATTGTCAGATGTAAAGAGAAAGGGGAATTCACTCTGATTTTGATTATGCTTTTTTTTTTCCTCAGATGTGGAAACATGAGGGCTTTTTTGCACTCTATAAAGGATTTTGGCCAAACTGGCTTCGACTTGGGCCCTGGAACATCATTGTATCCTTTTAGAAGCAAGTGCTTCAAGAAGGAAAATTTGATTACTAAATCTTTTTCAGCCAGTAAGAGACTTAAGTATCCCACTGGTGACCACTGAGGATGGAACTTCTCATTTGGAGGTTAATATAAACTTAAGGAAGTAGTAAAGAATGGTCAAATTTTCTTCTAGCTCCCTTTTGTTGGTGCCAGTCCTGGGGCATGAGCTCCTGACTTGGGCGAATTTTCTTTTTAAAACAGAATGTTAGGTGCTGGTGGCTCATGTCTGTAATCCTTGCTACTCAGAAAGATGAGATCTAGGATCACCATTCAAACCCCTCCCAAGCAGGAAATTCTATGAGACTCCTGTCTTCAGTTAACCACCAAAAACCAGAAGTGGAGATGCGGCTCAAGTGATAGAGCACTAGCTTTGAGCATAAAATCTCAGGGGCAGTGCCCAGGCCTAGAGTTCAAGCCCCAGGAAAACAAAACTAGAATAACAAACAAAACTAGAATGAGGGCTGGGAAGGTGGCTCAGTGGTAGAGCACTTGCCTTGCATGCCTGAGGCCCTGGATTCGATTCCTCAGCATCACATAAGCAAAAAGAAAAATGCTGGAAGTGGCGCTGTGGCTCAAGTGGTAGCGCGCTAGCCTTGAGCTAAAGAGCTGAGGAATAGCACCCAGGCTCAGAGTTCAGGCCCCACAACTGGACCCCCCCCCAAAAAAAAAAAAAGAATGACAGTACAACCAATCTGAAATGTGCTATGAAGTTTTTTAGAAACTCTGGTGGGAGATGCCCATCGGAAAGTTCGTGCTAAGGTGATAGAGATTTTGTACCCCCATTAACGGACAAAATATCTGGGAATGCTAACAAGATAGAAAATATTTATAGAGGAAAAGAATCCACAGTTTACTAAGATTCTTTTCTCATGGGTGAATCTCCCTCAGTTGTGTGGGAGCCATGGCAGTGCACAGAGCTATATTCTAGACACTGCATGATGATTGATGTGTTTAGTGGTACTTCAAGGGTTATAAATTAATTCCCTGTCCTTATGGGGTCTGAAGGCTGAGATACTATTTCCCTCCTTGAAATTCAGTGTGTATAGCAACATTTCAAGCACTGAGTTATATGTTGTCATTGATATTCTTGGTGTGTGTGTGTGTGTGTGTTCACATGTGTTCATGCACATACACACATTATATTTGTTGGTTATAGAGCTTGGACTCAGGGCCTGGGTGCTGTCTCTGACCTTCTTTGTGGTCAAGGCTTGGTGCTGTACCACTTGAGCCACAGTGCCACTTCTGATTTTTGAGTGGTTAATTGGAGATGAGTCTCATGGGGATTTCTGCCTGGGATGGCTTTGAACCATGATCTTCAGATCTCAGCCTCCTGAGTAGCTAAGATTACAGGTGTGAGCCGGTGTTGCCCAGCTTAAAAATGTATTTTTAATCTGTGTCTATTGCTATGCAAGAAATTGTAGTGGGCACATGGGAGGCACTCAGCATATATACAATCTGACAAGTTATATTAAAAAAGATATTTAAGGCCTGGGAAGGTGGCTCAGTGGTAGAATATTTCCCTTGCATGCATGAGGCCCCTGGGTTTGATTCCTCAGCACCACATGAAGAGAAAAAGCCAGAAGTGGTGCTGTGGCTCAAGTGGTAGAGCACTAGCCTTGAGCTGAAGAGCTGAGGGACAGCGCCCAGGTCCAAAATTCAGGCCCCATGACTAGCCAAAAAAAAAAAAAAAGATATTTAAGCTGGGTGCCAGTGGCTCATGCCTATAATCGTAGCTACTCAGGAGGCTGAGATCTGAGGATCACAGTTCAAAGCCAGCCTGGGCAGGAAAGTCCATGAGACTCTTATCTCCAGTTAACCACCAGAAAGCCAGAAGTGGCACTGTGGCTCAAGTGGTAGAGCACTTGCTTTGAGCTGAAGAGCTCAGATACATCACCCAAGCCCAGAGTTCAAGCCCCATGACCAACAAAAAAAAGATATTTAAGTCAATGCACCTTAGAATAGCATAGACTATAAGAACCTTAAGAGAAAACAATGCATAATTTTAGAACTAAGTTTTACTTTGAGTATCAACTCGGAAATTTTCCATGACTTTCTCCTCAGTTTTTTATTACATATGAGCAGCTCAAGAGGCTTCAAATCTAAGAATTGGATATATCTGTAAGCCCAGCCTTTGTACTGTTTTTCCTTTCCCCAATCTTCGTGTTCTAATGTATTTTGACAAAGTTGTAAGTGTTTACTGAACCAATGGTCTTACAAAGGCATCCTGATGGAAGAACAATAGATGGTTCAAAGTCATTTATGTATTTGTGATACCATGTTAACTTTTTCCTGAGAGAAAGTGTTAACATTGAAAGTCTGGCCTCAGATTGGTATCTTCTATGAAGATGGATACTGATGGGTAACATTCAAAATGGCCTTCTTCCCAAATGTGTGTTAAATGTAATTGGTTAGAACCAAACTTGGGCTAGACCAGAAGGTGTAGGCCAGGATAATTACTGCTGTGTATGTTATGTAGACCTTGGTTCTCATTAAAGTATTTATTGGCAGAATGACTTTGACCTTTGTCTTCATTTATTGTTTTCTCCTTTGCCTACTCCAAATTATATTCTTCAGAAAGTGATAAAATGAAGCTGACTGTGACATGATGGAGACCAGATTCTTAAGGCCTGTATTGATCAAAATAGAATATGTACATTGTGCTTTCACATTGCCATTCATTGGATTAGTGCCACTCAGGCAGGTGGTTTTTCTCAAAGCATGAATAAACAAGCAAGTAGCTCATTTGGAAGATTCTATAGATAAAAGGCTAACTGAAGTAAAAGACAGAACACAGGGTTCTGTTTGTCTTATAGGCAAAAATTCTTCCTGCTTTCTTCTACTAGAACAGTACCTACTGCATTGTAGGCACTCAGGCTTTGATGAAATGAATAGGGCTTCATATTTATCTTTTTTATCATTTGTTCAGACATTTATTATGTCCCTATTTTATTTTCCTTCCTTCCTTCCTTCCTTCCTTCCTTCCTTCCTTCCTTCCTTCCTTCCTTCCTTCCTTCCTTCCTTCCTTCCTTCCTTCCTTCCTTCCTTCCTTCCTTCCTTCCTTCCTTCCTTCCTTCCTTTCTTTCTTTCTTTTTGTTGGTCGTGGGGCCTGAACTTGACCTGGGCACTGTCCCTCAGCTCTTCAGCTCAAGGCTAGTGCTCTACCACTTGAGCCACAGAACCAATTCCGGCTTTTTATGCTTATGTGGTGCTGAGGAATTGAACCCAGGGGCCTCATGCATGCAAGGCAAGTATTCTACCACTGAGCCACCTTCCCAGCCCCTTAATTAATTAATTAATTAATTTATTTATTGGTGTCTGTCCTAGGGCTTGAACTCAGGACCTAGGAGCTGTCCTTAAGTGTTTTTTTTTTTTTTGCACAAAGTTAGCAGTCTACCACTTGAGCCACAGCTTTACTTCTAACTTTCTTTTGCAGGGAGGGTAATTAATTGGAGATGAGTCTCAGACTTTCTGCCTGGGCTGGCTTGGAAAGATGATCCTCAGATCTCAGCCTCCTGAGTGGCTAGAATTACAGGCTTGAGCCACTAGTGTTTGGCTAGATAAATAGATAGATATAGATGTAGATACAGATATAGATATATAGATATTTTTTAGCTAGTCCTGGGGCTTGAACTCTGGGCTTGGGCACTGTCCCTGAGCTTCTTTTGTTCAAGGCTAGCACTCTACCACTAGAGCTACAGCCCCACTTCTGGCTTTTTCTGTCTATGTGCTACTGAGGAATGGAACCCAGGACTTCATGCATGCTAGGCAAGCACTCTACTGCTAATCCATATTCTCAACCCTGTATGTATGTATGTATGTATGTATGTATGTATTTTTATTTAGGTAGCTGTGGCTCATGCCTATAATCCTAACTACTCAAGAGGTTGAGACCTGAGGATCACAGTTCAAGGCCAGCCCAGGTAGATAAATCCTAGTGATTCCTATCTGTAATTAGCCAGAAAAACCCACCAACAAAGAAAAAAACTAGAAATGGAGGCATGGTTTAAATAGTATGAGAGCACCCAACCCTGAGTTCAAATCCCAGGTATGCGCGCGGGCATGCGTGCACACACAGACACACAGACACACAGACAGACACACACACACACATACACACAGAGCAAATGATTGAAGATAATCACAAAATGTGACCAGGTTTTGTTCCAAAACTGAGTCCTTTTTCCTTCTTGGAGTTAGGGAACCACTAACAAGGCCAAACACCAAAGGGCCAGCAGAGGCATTTGTCTTTGATGAATAAGTAGACCTTAAAATGAGCTTCCTAGCCGGGTGCTGGTGGCTCATGCCTGTAATCCTAGCTACTCAGGAGGCTGAGATCTGAGGATCACGGTTCAAAGCTAGCCTGGGCAAGGAAAGTCCGTGAGACTCTTATTTCCAATAAACCACCAGAAAACTGGAAGTGGTGCTGTAGCTCAAGTGGTAGAGAACTAGCCTTGAGCTGAAGAGCTGAGGGACAGCGCCCAGGCCTAGAGTTCAAGCCCCACAACCGACAAAAAAAAAAAAAGAGCTTCTTGTCCAATTGGGGGCTGGAGGTGATGGAAAGAGTAAGCAAAATGAGGTGGAGTGGTGGAAAATTAATGTCTTTTCTATTAATGTGTAGAGGAAGCAGACAGAACCCAGCTGAGTAGCCCAGCTCTTAGGAAGACATGGGTTTTTTTTTTTTTTTCTGGCTGGAGGACCACTGCTAACTCTCTTTCTTTCTTTTTGTTTTTTCAGTCGTGGGGCTTGAACTCTGGGCCTGGGCGCTGCCCCTAAGCTCTTCAGCTCAAGGCCAGTGCTTGACCACTTGAGGTACAGCACCACTTCCAGTTTTCTGGTGGTTTATTGGAGATTAGAGTCTCACAGACTTTCCTGCCCGGGCTGGCTTCTAACCATGATCCTCAGATATCAGCTTCCTGAGTAGCTATGATTACAGGCATGAGCTACTAATGCTCAGCTCTATCTGTCCTTCTTAGTCTCTGTGGGTCCACATTCTTTTTTTTTTTTTTTTGGGTCCGGTCATGGGGCCTGAACTCTGGGCCTGGGCGCTGTCCCTCAGCTCTTCAGCTCAAGGCTAGCGCTCTACCACTTGAGCCACAGCGCCACTTCCGGCTTTTTTCTTTTTGCTTATGTGGTGCTGAGGAATGGAACCCAGGGCCTCAGGCATGCAAGGCAAGCGCTCTACCACTGAGCCACCTTCCCAGCCCCTGGGTCCACATTCTTGTTCCCTGTATTTATTTATTTTTTAAACATTTACAGCATCCATCAAATTAATCTACTCATAAAATAGATGGGCAAAAGGAAAGCCATACTTTCACGATATGCAAGTTGCAAGTGTTTTTTTTTTAAATAAATACTGGACATAGTTCTGATTTACCACAAATATTAGCCCTTTAAGAGATATCTTCCAGTGATTTCCTCTATCCTAGTGTAAATAACTTTTCTCATTGTACTTGTGTGATTGAATAATACCTACCTCTCCCATCAGTGTGTAACCTGTAAAGATAGGAATTACATTGTTTTCTCTCACTGCTGAATTCTCAGGGCCTAGCATAATTATATATATGTATATATATACATAATATTTGTTAAATGAATAAATTAATTGCTCTGTAGCCAAAGGAACAGATAGAGTGCTTAAAAATGTAGTAAAGGTTCAGAAATTACTACAGGATTTAAATTAAATTAAAATTTGAATTATTAGATAGATGGTTTATGATGAGCATTACTTCAAACTAACCCTCTAGAAAGGCAATATTGTCATGGGTTCAAGTACTCTAATGGCTTCCAAATGTCTTATCTGCAGCCCAGACCCCTCCCCTGCAATCCATACTTTTTTTTTTTTTTGGATTCAGTTGTGGGGCCTGAACTCTGGGCCTGGGCACTGTCCCTCAGGTCTTCAGCTCAAGGCTAGCGCTCTACCACTTGAGCCACAGCGCCACTTCCGGCTTTTCTTTCTGCTTATGTGGTGCTGAGGAATCGAACCCAGGGCCTCAGGCATGCAAGGCAAACCCTCTACCACTGAGCCACCTTCCCAGCCCTGCAATCCATACTTCTGTGTCCCATTGCCTACTTCACAGTGTTATACAAAGAGATACTTCAGAATTTCTTCGTGTACTTCCTAATACCCCCTTTAATAACCCTGAACGCGTAGTAATTCATAACTCATCTTTCACAACCCAGCAACTCATAGTTGAAGGTAGACTGTAAATTGAAAATAATTTTTCCTTTCAATGAGACATTCTAGAGAGTGAGACAGTGTAGACAAAAGTAATAACTAAGCCAAACATGATGAAGCAGGGATGATCACTTGTGCCTAGGACTTTGAGGCCAGCTAGTGAAACATAATGGGACCTTATTTTGTTAACTGACATTTTTTGTCTTTTCTTTTTTGGTACTAGGGTCTGAACTCAGGACATTGCACTTGTTAGGCAAGCACTTTGCCACTAAGCTACATCCCAGCCACGAGAACCTATTTTAAGAGGAAAAAAGAAAGCAATAGCTAGTAATTATATGGCTTCTATTATATACCAGGTACTGTTGTAAGTCATTTGTGTTTACAAAAGAGTCTCAATCCTTATAACCACCACTTTAAGGTAGGTGCTATTCTTGGTTTTTTTTTGTTTTTGTTTTGGTCTGTCCTGGGGCTTGAACTCTGGGCTTGGGCGCTGTCCCTATGCTTGAGCCACAGCATCACTTCCGGTTTTCTAGTGGTTTATTGGAGTCTCACAGACTTTCCTGCCTGGGCTGACTTTGAACCACGATCCTCAGATCTCAGCCTCCTGAGTAGCTAGGATTACAGGCGTGAGCCACCTGCGCCCGGCATTATTCTTGTTTTGTAGATGAGTAATAGAAGTATAGAAGGATGAAATGCTTTGCCTCTAGAAAATGGCAGGGTCAGGCTATTAACTCAGGCAGTCTGACTCATGAGTCCATGCTTATAATCACTATGCTAGAGGTGTACTGACTTCCTTGTCCTATTGACCGTAAGTTTATGGCAGGTGTGCACTAAAATATATTGATTTCATTAATTCCCCTATCTTTATAGTACCATGAAAGAAAGAAGATCAATAGTTTTTGTGGTTGGTCACTCTTTGACACTTAACTGTAATACAGGATTTAGATTATTTTCCTGGACACTTGTCAGTGTGGTTCTATCATTTTGACTTTGTTCTCCACTTTCTATTACTTCCTTCTCTTTTGTTGGGCTTTCTTCTTCATGACCTGGTTCATCACTACCCTACCCTTTCTTCCTCCAGGGTTGGGTAGCATAGCAGGATCCAGGAAAAAGTTCTTGTTATTAAAGGCAACACACTGGAATAACAAGAACTTGTTCTGGTTGTGCATTGGAACATTTTCATTTACTGCAGAATCTGAAATTCTTGATACAGATTCCAGCTTGAAATTTAATAATTAGGACATGGGACTGGACTTCTCACCCTCTCCTCTAGTGCAAAATAGTATTTTGTTATAAGCAAATGTGTAGGATAAATTATTAAACTACTAAGAATGGAAT